ATTCTCAAAGTTCTACCAGCCAGGATTTCGTCATGTTCGACTTTTCTGATGGTTCAGAGGTTAGCTTAGGTGACTGTGGCTTCTGTGACTCTCTCCTCTTCCTCTCTCTCTCTCGTTTGTTTGTTTTTTTGAGACAGGTTTCTCTGTTTACTCCTCACTGTAGAATGAGCTGACCTCAATACTCAGAGATCCTCCTGCCTCTGCCTTCCAAGTGCTGTAATTAAAGGCATGTACCACCCTGCCTGGCCCATAATTTCACAAATAGAAAAAAAAAAAGAGAGAGAGAAAGAAAAAAGAAATTGGCCCCTAACAAGTTAGCAGAGGCAATTCACTAAAGTCTGGAATCAAGTTTTTGATGATAATGATTTAGCGAAGGCTACAGAGTCTACCCAAATCTGCTCTCCTCAGTTCTTGACATGGGACTTGGCTCATTTCTCAGTCTCTCTGGTGGGTAGGTGTGGTCATATGGATAGTGAGTCCATGGCTAGTGAGCAGTGAGCAGACTGGCGGGACCTTCAGGGGGACAAGCATACCTCTCGAGTCTTCTTTTCCTTTTCTCCTGCTGGGACCAGGGATGACCAGCTTCAAGCACAGAGGGCTGAGCTCCAGAGGACGCTGAAGCAACATGATACAGGGAACCTGTGTCCCTGAATGACCACTGACCTGGTCATTCAGAGCTGCCCTACTGACCTGGTCTGCTCTCCTCAGAGAGGCTAACTCAGAACCCAGAGCTGGTACACGAGGAAGAATGACTGCTTTGTCCTTGAAGCCGCTGTGTTGTTGAGTCTCTGTTACAGCAGCCTAGCCTTTCATTTCAGCTCACACCACCAAGGCCCTTTGTGAATATTTAGAATGGCTTCACAAATGACCAGCCACCACTGGAGAAAATTGCATCGAAGCGGGTACTAGTCAAACATGCAATTCCTGCCTGTGGCCACCACCCCAAGTCCTCAGCTTGTGTGAAGACCATTTAATGGTTGAAACAGACTGCTTATGTTAGGACTCACTTAGCTTCTATGTAACTGACTCAATAAGCTTTTGACTATTTCTCCCTGCTGGGGACACTGCCACTGTATTCACAAAAGCTCGTGTGTGTCTGTTGTGTAGTTAGCTTTTAATACGCTGTGAGTTTTTTTTCGGTTCTGTTGTGCTATGGATCAAACCCAGGGCCTTACAAATAACAGGCAAGTAATTCCACACTGTAGCCCACCCTTCCAAAGTTAGTATGGGATGTGTTTGAAGTGGAAAATTGTCGATGTTGGAAGGAGACTGTACAAATACTTACTGAGCATTACAAAGGGGCAAACTATGTGCACAGACCAAAGATGAACCCTTCCTGATAGGTCTCAAAAGAAATACTTTTTTTTTAAACTTACACTTTAGAAGTTTCTACCTCCTTGTGCACGTGCCCTCCTACGGGCATCCATGTGGAGGCCTGAGACAACTGGCCCTTTCCCACCTACCTTCAAGGTCCCAAAAGATGAATGCAGGACAAGTCACCAGGCTTGGCTCGAGCACACTTACTGACATCTTATAGGCCCAATACAGACAGTTGGAGTTAGCCTCAACTCTTCAAAGTACCTTGAGAGATTTTTTAAAATTTATGTATGCGTGTTCTACCTGGATGTGTGACTACACGCCAGAAGAGGGCATCAGACCCCATTACAGGTGCTTGTGAGCTGCCATATGGGTGCTGGGAATTGAACTCAGGTCCTCTGGAAGAACAGAACAGGCCTCTTAACCACTGGGCCATCTCTCCAGCCCCAGAGCACTTCTTTTTTTTTAAAAGATGCTTTATGACTGTGGACACATGTGGAAGCCAGAAAACTTTTCAGCTCTCTCCTTACACCGTTTTTTTGAGGTACAGCCTCACTATTAAAAAAAAAAAAATCAAATGGGGTAGAAGGTGCTGGAGAGATGCCTAAGACCGTGCAGGGGACACAAGATTGGCTCCAGCACCCACGAGGAAGCTCCTTGCCACCTGTAGCTCCAGTTCTGGCCTCCCAGGGCATTTGCAGCAAAATGCAGGCGCGCGCACATGTGCACACACACACAATTTAAAAATAAATCTTAATTTCTTCTTTTTCCACTACCTCCTCCTCCTACTACTACTACGAGGAAGACGAGTCTAACTGCTCACTGTGTGTTGGAATTAATCACCAAAGGCACTCAGACAACACCGCTGGTGGCAAACTGAAGTGACCTGGATGAAGGACCCTGCTTGTCTAGGGATTAGCTGAGGCCAGATGGTGCAGTATGAGCAAACAGCCCTCGCTGGTCTCAGTGGACTTCCCAGCTAGCCAGAGTTGTGCTGGTGAAGGGGCCACACGTGCTGCGACTGGTACAGCCACGTTCTCACTTTAGCTTCTACCTGTGCCAAGGCTGACACGTCTCTTGCGTCTGGTGGAAACCCAAGGGCCGAAGACTGTGTCCTTCCCTGGCCGCCTCCACCAGAGAGCAGCAGGGCGATGCCAGCCCCAGGCTTTTCCACAGTTGCTGCAGGAATCTCATCTCCCATCTCACCGTCTCTAACGTGAGCAGTGGGTTCAACCACCGTGCCCTGCACTTAACAGGCACTTAAGAAAATCATTAGACACTGACTGGTGGGTGCGGGAGGTAAAGCAGTCTCAGATTCCAGCAGACAGAGAAGTGAGTTCAGAGAAGCCACCGCTCCTGGTATTTCAGATGGAAGGATTAAAGAGGTCTTTTGAGGTAGAATTAGTAAAACTTGTTTTTCTTGATTGTCTGCTGACATTTTTAAGGCTTTAAAATATATTTAGCAAGCCAAGTGAGGCATTTCAGAAACTAAGCTTCCTCCCTAAACAAAGCCAACTCTACACAACACTCAACAGCTAGTATCTTCAGCTGCTCAGACCCTCCCCCTCTTGCCCCCAGCTAGCTGGCTAGCCATGCTCCCCGGGGGGGGGGGGGGGGGGCCTGCATCTCCCACGGTTCTGCCTCCAAGGCTGGGGGACAATAACGTCCCTGAAGTGCTTGGCATTGTTTGGCTTCACTGTACTCTGCACCCAAGATGTGGCTTCCCAGCCTGCTGATTCAGGTAATACACCGGCTGGGGAACTCAGACACAAAGAACAAGATGGCGGGGGCGCACCACTGGCTTCTTTGACAGGAGAAAATATTTATTAAGAGCCGGCCAGTACTTTTGCTAAGAGGTCAAAGTTTTTCACCCCGATTTCTACGTAGCATCCAAAAAACATAACCACACTTTGAAGGGTTCCTTTGCTTCTATTTTGTGTATGTGTGGGGGCATGTATATATGTGTGCGCATGTGTGGGCAGAGGCAGGAGAAATGACCTTAGGTGACACTCCCCCTCAGGCACCAGTTTGTGTTTTGTGTGTGTGCAGGTGGGTGGACACCTGTGTGTGCATGCATGTGGAGGCGCTCTCTGCCTTTAAAAACAGTTATTATTTGGTAGGTGTGTGTGCTGTACGTATGTGGGGGAGTCAGTTCACTACTTTACTGCGTGTATCTTGTTGGTACACGCTACGCACCCCAGCTTCACAGGATTGTCCCGTCCCCTGCACCCATCTCTCAGGAGTACGGGATTACAGAAGCCTACACGACATCCAGTTTTTTACATGGGTACTTTCACCTGCTGAGTCACCTCACTAGCTCCCCCCCCTTTTTTGAGACAGGGCCTCACTCTGAACCTGGAGCTTATGGATTGTCTAGGCTGAGTCACTGACCTGCCACACCACCACTTTATTTTCTGGTTTGTCAAGACAGGGTTTCTCTTTGTAACAGTCCTAGGTGTCCTCACTTTGTAGACCAGGCTGGCCTCGAACTTGGAAATCTGCCCGCCTCTCTGCCCTACCACCTTATTTTTGGACAGTGCATCTCATTTGTCTCTAGTAGCACATATTATGCTAGGTTAGCCAGCCAGTGGGCCCCAGATATTATTTCTAGCTCTCTAGCAATGAGATTAGAGGCATGTTGTGAGGCTGAAGAGATGGCTCACCAGTCAAGCGCATTTGAGGCTCTTCCAGAGGGTTTGGATTTGATTCCCAGCAAACCACACAGCAACTCATAATCATCCATAACTTAAGTTCCAGGTACTGGATGAAAGGAATGCTCATGGCATGCACATAAAACATGATACACACAGGATCAGCAAGAACAGCAAGAGGCTGGCACCATGTCAGGTAGGTTCTGGGGATCTAACTCAGGTCTCATACCTGTGTGTCCAGTAATTCACAGACCTAATTTGTTCATGCTGTGCTATTGGGTGGGGTTGTTTTGGTTTCACTATGTAGCCCAGGCTGGCCTGGAACACATGATTCTTCTTATACGGACTTCCAAGTGCTTGGATTCTAAAAACTACACCCTTAAGAGATGCTCCTTCTTCCTCATTTTTTTCTTTTTGTTTGTTTTTTGAGACAAGATTCCAATATATAACAGTCCTGGCTGTCTTGAAACTCATGTAGACCAGGCTGGCCTCAAATTCTGAGAGATCCACTTGCCTCTGCCTCCAAGTGCTGGGTCACCATGTCCAGCTTAAGATGTTCCTTCTTGCATGATTCCTTCTTCTTTACACTGAAATCTGCAGTTTCTCTGATCTTCAGTACTCTTGGTACACTGGTTAGTTACATGGATCTTCCTAAGATTCCCCAAAAGCAGACTGACTGGCATCTCTGTTCCCTTTGGCCCACTCCAGGGTCTCTCACACCACCTGAAACAAAGGCCTCTGAAGAACTACAGCTTCCAGGGCAGAGTTCTCTAACGGAATGATGAAAATGTTTTGAAAACAGTAGCGCTGACACCCAGCACTGTGAATGTGGAATGCCGAGGAAAGCATCAAAACACCCTGACCTATGCTGTACACAAAAGAGCAGAGGCTTCAGATAACAACCCCCGGGAGAGACCCTGCAGGAAAAGGAGGCGTGGGAAGCTCGGTATACATCGTATCTCTGCTGAGTGCTGAGCTGGAGAAACAGTTACCGCACTGACGACAGAGCACGCTGTGAATAAACTAGAGGGCTATTGCAAACCTTTTTATTCACATCTCAAAAGAACATATAGCTTTCTGCCCTAGAAAGACAGCAGTGCCAGCCATTCTGCACAGCAGCAGCTAGCTCAGCAGACTCAGATTCTTTCTTTAGTCTTCAAGACCCGGGTCACAACCACCTCTGCCTGACCCCTCCGTCTTCTGAGATTCAGAGCTAGGACAGCTCGCCTCGTCGTCTCTCTGGGCTGCTCCTTCCTGCCGTTCTCTCACATCCAGAACTCCTGACTGTGCCTTACAATACTTCAGTCATTGACAAAAGCATCTGGAAGCGAGATATTTTTAGCCAGCACCCGGGACAAGAACTCTCTTTTAAAGGATGTACTGAATCTTGGTATTCACCACTAAAAAAGATCCTCCAGTAGAAAATGTGCAATCTGTGCCTCTTTCTAAAATAAAACCTTTAAGGTTCAAAGAAAAAAAAAATCCCACCCTGAACTACATCACTACCAGACACAACAGCCACACAAGGGCTGAAAGGCCTGCTATTCCCACTGCAGACCACAGCACAGAATAAAAGAAGATGGCGGGGCCTTCTGCCCAGCCCTCCTCCGTCCATGCGTGGGACACCAACACTCCCCTCCCTCCTGCACTTGATCCCCACATCTCTGTAAAGGCCACCAGGCACATCTTTCAAACCATGGCTTTCAGCTCTTGCTCATGCTGCCCTGGGGACTTCTCCTCTTTAGGTTCCGGGTCACAGTCTGGGGAACTACTTTGAGTTTCTATGTGAGCAACAGCATCTGAGTTCAACTTTCTTCTTTTCTTCAATTGGTGCAAGTGAGATTTGGATTTTATATGTGCTGAGAAGACAAAAACCAAATAAACAAAAAGACATCAGCTTTCTTAGAATTCTAAAAACAAACAAAAAATAATAAACCAAACCAAACATTTGAATTTAACTATACAATCTTTAACTATTAATAAATAACAGAGTAGACACATGTTTGCTCGAGACAAGGCCTTACTCTGTAGCCCAGACTGACATCACGCTCAGGCTCCCCCTGCCTTCGCCTCCCGGTCTGTGCTGCACACTGGCTGAGGCTCTGCTGGGCAGGTCAGCAGTGAGCGTGCTCAGTCCACTGCTGCACAGACCCACCGAAACTCTCACTCTTACCCGATGACTGTTTCATACAGGCTCATTTTTACTATCCTGTTCTTCTGCAAGAATTATCCTCTGGGAACACCTAAAGAGAGGGATGGCTAGGCTAATTTTAAAATTTATTTATTTACTTAATTGTGCATGTACGTAGGGGTAGGAGATTGCTTGCTGGCAAGCTTCTTTACCCACTGATCCTAAGTTAAAATTCTTTTACACATAGCAAAAGCATCATTTTTTGGGGGGAGGGGGGTTGGAAGTATAAGTAAGGAAATAAACTGAGGAAATTTGTGTGGGAAGAAGAGGCAGCTTTATTCTCTAGGCGTAAGGCAAACCTGGGCTCTGGGCTGCTTTCCATGGCAGCAGGAGACGGAGCAAGGACTCGACAGATGGCACTATAGAAGGCTCACACAGCCGAGCTCACAAAGGCTCACAAATGTTGCTTCTCTGAGGCTCTCCCCAAAGGACATTCGACAAATCGAAGCACTAAGTTTCCTTCACAAAGCAATCAGACGCCCTCTCTCTTCCCCTTTCATCATTATACACCACCAACAACCAAGGCTTCTTCTGCTGGATGGGCACACAGTCGCCCCGAGTCTCTGACAATGGGGTTCATTTTGTCAGAGATGTCAGTTAATAAATCTAATCATTCTATGGGCTGATATGGAGAGAAACATCTACTCTGAGAATCCAAGCAAAACTGTACTATGAGCAGGTTTCCTGCAGCTGGGTCAGGCTAGCTCAGGCTAGCTCAAACTAGTTCTCACAGCTTTTTCCCCACCTACCATCACAGTTTGACAAGTTAGCCTGAGAGTGCTACAAAGACCGCCCCTTGGCCTCTGAGGACCCTGTGCACACCTGCTCCCTCCCAGCTATGCCTCTGCTCCCTCACAGCTGGAGGGTGAAGGTCTTCTGCACTTCGGGATATGGGGCAATTCTCCAGTCTGGGAAAGGTTCTCAGGAATCTGTCTGACCTGTTACAAAGCTGACTCCAGCATCCAACTATTAAAGACTAAGTTTTAAGAAGTGCGACGCCCCCTCTGCCCCCCAATTTAGATCTCATGACCCCACACACAGCCTCCATCTATCCCCACCTGCCCATTCCCGGTCCCCGATGATGATCCGGTCACACAGGTCACACATGTGGTAACTTCTCTTGTTCTCAGTTTCATCATACGCCATCTTCATTGGCGTGGCTGTAGGTTTGTGCCCCTAGAGAGTAAGGGGAAGGACATTCAGCTCAAAGAGATTTGGGGACAATTCTCTGATATTAAGGGGAGTGGGATTTTTCCCAAGATTCCTTTTTCATCCCCCAGAGAACAGGTGGGCTGTTAACATATTTTAGCAACAACCTTTCTAAATATGAAAGTTAAAACAAGCTCCAGGGATTTAAAAGCAGCCAGCTTGATGCTTTACCCCACTGACATGAGATCTGGCTCCCAAACTAGCAGCAAGTGTCAGCAAAAGAAAGCCCTTTGCAAACCTGACAACAGACCTCCTTAATAGTCACCTGGATGAAACTCTGTACTATATTGACAGCAGGTTCCAGAACAGACTCTTCCCACTTTGAAACATCAGATACTTCTAAGCCATATACTGGAGGGACACTGGGACCAGGTCCTAATGATGACAAAGAAAAGTTGTGAGAGCCTGGTCTACGGGACCCAATCTATTCTGTTTCCAGGACTCTTAAAACCCTCAAGAGGAACACACAGGGCCAAAGGAGTGACATTCTGATCACGCTATTCATCCTACTATAAATATCCCAAAGACCCAGAAGCCTGACTTATATGCAGCAACATGCCTGACCATGCAAACAGACTCGAGAGCAAAATCTTTGACCAGTAAGGAAATAAAAATGGAATAACAGATCTGATGCCCACTGTGTGGGCTGTTGTGACAGAAACAGCACTTCACAGGAGGAACTAAGCTAAGAGCCCCGAGTGAGGGCCTGCTCTAAATTTTATGTCACTGGTAGCATTTGGATAACCACAAGCATTAACCAATGGACCACTCAAGAACTAGTCTTGGGGCTGGTCTAGTTGAATCTCACTCTGACCTTCATGACTTTTTCTTTTCTCTTTTCTTTTCTTTCTTTTTTTTTTTTTTTGATTCAGAGACTGTTGTGACCCAGGCTGTCCTCAAACTCACTGGGTACCCGAAGTTGGTCTTGGACCCCTGATCCTCCTGCCTCCCCCTGCCTTCCAAACAATTACAGTCATGTAGTACAATGCCAGGTTCCTAAACACCTTCTTTTAAGAGCCACATCTAAAGGAGGATACACGTGTCCTCGTGAACAGACACAAGGTTGGCGGTATGGACGAGTGGACAGCCACCCTCCTGGGCCAACTGCACTGCGACAGTTTAGCTTCAGTTCGGCCACACTCTACAGACACACTGGACCATCGCTACAGCTAGGTGAAGTCAGTTACTTGAAGGCAAGAAGCATTGTCCCATGGACAAAAAACATCAAAGGCATTGGGATGCCAACGGCTGACAGGTGCTGGCCTTTTGAGTGTGCCAACCACAAATAAGATTCTTCATAAGCCGGACTGGCCTACACCTGCCACCACATGGAAAGGTGAGACCAGAGGGTGCAGGCAGTGCCCACCGCACACCTGGCCTTAGTTGAGCTCTGCACCTGTTTCTAGGCCACTCTACGTTTCCCTTTCTCCTCTAAGTCCTTTGTTGGGCCTCTGTGCCCTGTCTAAGCACCTTTCAACAAGTTCTCGGCTCCCAGCTGCTATTTCTGGCTTGGGTCCAAGGCCAAGCTGGGGTGGGGAAGTCCCTCTGGCTCTCTGCCAGACCATATCCCAGAAGACTAGCCTTGCCCAATCAAATGTGGCTCCTGACTTACAGGGCAGCTGTGCCTTTCTCTCTGGCACCAGGACTGTGCCTGCACAGAATGAGGTGCAGGCAAATGACACTGTGCCATTAACCCCTCCTGGTTGAGACGGGTTACTGTGGCCTTACCACAAGAGGAAGTTCTAAACTATCACAAAAAAGCCTTTTGTTTCAGACTTACTGTCAGACTTGGGAAGGGAAGCTGCAGTTGAAATCTGTGGTTCTGAACCCCCAGTTCAGCTGAGACCAGGCTGGGATCCCCACTACTTATCAAGACAGGCAGGAAAGGGGAATGGAAAGAAGCAGCACCATGGATCAAGGTGTACAAGGTCAACTGGAGATGACGCAGAAGAGGATTTTAAAAGTGTCCCCAGGATAAACTAGAGTTCGCTACCTTAAATCTATCTCCTTTTAGCTCATAAGCACACAACTGGGGTCCTGGGAGCCTGTACAAATGCTGGTCAGCCAACAGCATAACTCAAAGAAACATGAGCCTAGACTTAAAAGTCAGGCCTGTATTGGGCTCTATTGCCTTCTAGCTGGGGGTGGGAGAAGGGTTACTGGACTCCTGCTAGGTCTTCATGTTCTTATCTGTAAAATAAATGAAGCCTCAACACAACTACTGCAGCACGACATTTGGTGACAGAGAAAGTATGAGACTTTCCTTCCCTCGCCCTTAAAAGTTCTGTCCAATTGCAGAGTCAGCTGAAGCAATTCAAGTCCCCACCGTGTATTTGACCACAAAGATAAAGCGAGGGAAAGCAGAGAACGTTTTGTCCTTTCTATTAAAGATCATCAGACCCAGGACCATTTTAACTGGGAAAGCTCCCAGCAGCATTCTGCCTGCTCTCAGGTATAAAACGGAAGCTAGAACTGGATTTAACGCCCAACCTGCTCACACTATCTTGCTCTTCTTACCTGTGCTTACAGTCACCACTTTCTATTCAAGGAGTAAGGAAACTCTTCAGTGGAAACTTAACTGTTTCTTTCCCCCTAAGACATCACCAGAAAACACCCCTGAATAATTCTCCATGCAAAAGACCCACCTGTGGTCTAAATTCTCAGGACAGATCTAGAGACTACTGTTCATTTGCTGAGTGAGAAGACATCAATATTCTGCCAAAACTGATCCAGAAGAGAAGGAGAGAAGTGGGACTTACTGCTCAAAAATCGGTTCCTAACCCATCGGTTTTGCTTCCGGGCATATCTCTTAGTTACTTGTTTCAGAGCCTCAATACCTGGAAGATACAGCAGACACAGTGGCATCCAGGTGAGCATTTCTACCTGTCAGAAGACAACCCCTCCCAAGTCAAGAGCAAAAGAAATGAGCACACTGTTAGACTTCACAGACAACAATCTCAGTGTTTAGCTGGGACTCTTCTAGCCTCAGCTCAGACTATCACCCAAGGATGTCCAAGACTAGGTTAGATGGAGGAATTCACACCTTTCTTTAGAAGCTGGTTACTAGTCTCTGGTGTGCATTTTCCCTCAGTGATCAGGTACTCGTGAAATTCCTTGAAGCCAATTGACTGGAAGATACCATGTTGATAGTCCTGGCTGGGAACAGGAGAGCATCAGCAGTGAGCCATAGCCTCTGAAAGCTAGCAGGGGCCTTGGATGTTATCTCATTGGTGAGAAAGTGAGAGCCTGGAATTTTCCCCTTCCCGCCCTACCAGTCTCCAGGTTACTTCCTTAAAAGTAACTTCTGGGAATGCCTGAAGAAAAACAAATTACCCTTGGAACAGGTATATAATAAACCTCCTTCAATGAGCCCTGCCAATGCCAAGGCTGAAGACTAGTAAGTAGATCCAAAGCCAGTGTTATGTCTACGCTCTTGCAACTATGGACAAGCAATGAATGTAGAACAGAACAGCAGCCAAATCCTCACCTATTTTCTGAAATGTTCTTAAGATTATAGCGCCTGTGAAAATCTCTGAGCTCCTCCAGGAGTCCGGCAGCAAGCATGGCGTCCACTCTCTTGTCCAAGCGTTCATCTAGAACTTGAGTCAAAATAGCCCATGAATGAGCAGCACGTGGCAGGGGCCGACACTCACACGGCGAACTAAACAGGCTACCTCAATAAGGGTTTTTATCCAAATGAAAGAATTCAGAGTATAGGGGGCTGGAGAGATGGCTCAGAGGTTAAGAGCACTGGCTGCTCTTCCAGAGGTCCTGAGTTCAATTCCCAGCAACCACATGGTGGCTCCCAACCATCTGTAATAAGATCTGGTGTCCTCTTCTGTACTGTAGGATACATGCAGGAAGAACCCTGTATACATAATAAATAAAAATCTTTAAAAAAAAAAGAATTCAGAGTATATTAAAAATTCATATTGTTTTACTTGTATTTTGGACTGTGCATGAGCAAAGCAAACCAGAATGAAGCACGTGCCTTAGCTGGAGTGAAGGGCGAGAGCACTCACTATGGAGACTGCACACCACTGCTTTTCAAAGTGGCTGAGAAGTCTCCTGGTTTCTTCGAAACAGGGTCTCACTCTGTAGATCAGGCTGTCCTGGAATTCACTGTGTGGAGTGGGTGGCCTGGAACTCACGTAGATCCACCTGCCTCTGCCTCCCAAAAGTGTGCACCACCACATCCAGGGGTTGACTTTTCTTAACTTCTGTCCTATTTTTTTTTTTTTTTTACTCTAACTTTGCTACTTTCATTTCAGAATCCCCAGATGACATCTTGGTGCATCTTGAACTACCAAGTGGGTAGATCATCATTCAGGTGCAACAGCTGGACGTGGCTCTGCCATGAGTCAAAGCCATTAGTTTATATTGAACTGCAGTGTAAGGTTTGACTGTTAAACATTTCATTATGGAAAAGTTACATTTTCCCAGAAACATATAACTGAAAGTGATTTAAAAGCAAACTACCCTTATAATTATGATCATCTGTCTGTGTCTCCATTGCTGCTACCTCTCAGCCTCTAATGAGCACAGCTCTTGTTCTTGCCTTGCTAAGGTTTGTTTACTGAGGACTGGTCATGTATGAAGCTCACTGCAAGTGCTCTGAATTCCATTGACTTACTCATTTATTTTGCTGAGCTAGGATCTGAACAGAGAGTTCTCTGCATACAAGACAACTGCTCTGCTACTGAGCCATACTCCCATCCCACAACTTTGTGTAGTTTTAGTATTTTGAATCACTAATGGATGTTATAAAATATGTACTATTATTATCATTTCTATTTTATAGAAGAGTTAGAATACATAAAGGTAAACTAATTGGTCTTAACTCACAGAACAGACTGGGTGGCGGTGGTACATGCCTGTGATTCCAGTACATGGGAGGCAGAGGCAGGTGGATCTCTGTGAGTTCAAAGCCAGTTTCCTAGTCTACAAACTGAGTTCTAGGACAGCTTAGAGCTATTATACAGAGAAACCCTGTCTTTAAAAACAAGACAAAACAAACAAACAAACAAAAAAGAACTCACAAAACTGGGAGACAGTGGAGCAACTATGTGAAGTTTAACAATGTCTTCAAGCCTGGCGATTTGCCACGTACCGCACTGCCTGCCCATGTAGCCATTTTGTGTCCCTACTCCCCAGAGAATGGTCACCATCTCTTATCTTAGGCCCAAAGCACTCTGAGCACTCCTCTGTTGCAGAACTGTCTATCATCTCACCCCCAGGAGACCTGCAAGTGCAGGAGTTCGTACTCCTCTCTACGGCATGGCGACTACAGGGTACATGGCATTTTACTCAGGGCTCACTGATTGCTTGCTGGGGCAACAGACAGGGCATCACAACACTTTTTTTTTCTTGGGGGGGCAGGGTTAGGGGCAGGGCTTCTCTATGTAGCTTTGGTGCCTGTTCTGGAACGAGCTCTTGTAGATCAGGCTGGCCTCAAACTCACAGAGATTCACTTGCCTCTGCCTCCCAAGTGCTGGGATTAAAGGCGTATGCCACCACCGCCCAAATGGCAACATAATACTTTAGCAACAAATGCTACCAGGTTAGCTAGCTAGCCATCAGACCTAGTTCTCAGGTTTATCAGTGACTCAGCCTTCCCCCGGAAACCTTCCCTTACTCATCTTCCAACCTTCTCTAAACAGCAGTCTCTTCCACTGTGTACCTCTCATCCTACCCTACTCTGGTGTCTGAGAACCAGCATTCTCCTCCACCCTTTCCAGAAACACCTGCGGGAACAGTACGGAGCCTAAGTGAAGGCAGGACGATTGTCACAACAAACCCAGTAGATACGTTAGTGTTCATTTTCAGCCACGTGGTTCTAAGCTAGATACACAAGAACCTCGTAGTCTATGTTTTAGCTCAGATGAACTCCAGACGGAAGATATTTTACCTGTCTGGTCAGCATGAAGCCAGAGGATGCATGGGTTAGGGAACCTGAGAGGGCCTCCCAGAGGACCACCGCCTTCTTCTGCATGTTGACGCTGAAGAAATTCACTGTGAGAGATGCCTGTTTCTTCAAATACTTGCAAGCTCCTAAGTTGTTGAAGAAAGGAGGTGGGGTGGGGAACCCATTAGGAAATATTCATTCTCAACTGGAATAAAGAGAAGGACTATCTCACAGGAAGGAGTCAGGTGTGGTGATAGATCCTGACTCCAAGCACTGGGACACTAATGCAAGCAGACATCCTAAGACACAAGCCCATCCTAAGTTTCATTCGTCAGCTTCACGCATAAATTCCCAAACCAAGAAATTCCAGCTCTATTCCAATCCTACAGCTATTCAGTAAGGCCCTAAACTCTGGGTGAGAAATAACACTGTTCTTTTAAAAACACATTCTAGAATTAGTTAAACGGGTTCAGAAATAACAGGTTTCCTCTACACAAACAGAAGGAGACTCACTTTCAAGTGAGCAGTAAAAGCTTGTTTGGGACACTCTGTACAAGCCAACATGTCTGGTCTCGCTGGAGTGCCTTTCCCACAGTGCCAAGGCATGCTGTACATCCAGCTCATCCACTTTCTTTTTAAATATGTCTAAAATTAATCAAGAATGCTCCTGGCTAATCCAGTACACTCTCCTGGAACAAAGACTACCGGAGACAGAGCCCACACGCTCATTCTTAAGCTGACGGCCATGTCTGTGTGCGTTCTGTTACATTACAGCACCAGGTAACTGAGCTCCCAAAGCCACACTCTCCACTCAGGTGACTGCAATTTATCAGCTGGAAAGTGATCTTTCCCTTCCTGACCCACTTCTGCTTCCTGAAACCCCAACAGCAGAGTGAGACCCCTTGTACTTCAATCCCCATGGCCACTCAGAGCATCTATGAGGAAAAACTTAACAGTACCTCACTTATTTACAGGAAGAATACAGACTCTACCCAAGAGAGATGATAAGAGGTCTCTATCTTCCCTATGGGAGACACTGGAGCTCTTGCTTGGAGCCTAGTGACCCTTCCTGAGGCACAGTTCTCAAACAGTACAAGGGAACACCGTAAGAAATAAGATCTGATTAGGGATGGAGAGGAAAGCAAAGACAAGTTCTTGTCCCAGTGTGCAGAACTGGGAATGGAAGGTTCACTTTAATGCCCTAGAGTTTAAATAAAATGGAAATATTGGAATGAAATAAAGTACTTGGAGTCAAACATGGTGACAGATGTCCGATTCCAAGTACTGTCATACAACTATAAGAAGTGCAGGAGTCGGGGCTGGAGAGATGGCTCAGAGGATTAAGAGCACTGACAGTTCTTCCAGAGGACCTGGGTTCAATTTCCAGCACCCACATGGCAGCTCACAAGAGGGGATATGATACTTCATACCAATGCACATAAAATAAAGTTAAATAAATTAAAAAAAAAAAAGAAGTGCAGGAGTCAAGGCCACCCTTAGCTAAGTTAGTCAGGACTACATAATATCCCATCTCAACAACAGAAAGAGTGGCTACTTAGTACAAGCAGCATTTCCCTTAGAATATCATTCCTACCAGGATGAAAAGTCCCTCAATGAGGATAAAAACACTTAGAATAGAATGTGGCCCTCCAAGGACACCTCTGTATGAGAAAGGTCTTTTTCCTTTAATGTAAAATTTCATTGGAATAGGGAGCAATGAGGTGGGGGTATTCTTAAATGGCTCTTCAAAGGCAGAATAATGAAAAAATATCAGAAACACTGGTATTAAATCTTTTGAAGCTGGGCGGTGGTGACACATGCCTTTAATGCCAGCACTCGGGAGGCAGAGGCAAGCGGATCTCTGTGAGTTCGAGGCCAGCCTGGTGTACAAAGTGAGTTCCAGGACAGCCAAGGATACACAGATAATCCCTGTCTCGAAAAAAAAAATTTTTTTTGAATAGAATATTTTACGTTAGCATAACAAGGGATATGTGTAGCCACGACACAGTGAATCCTTAGATGGTCTCCTGTGCCAAACACAGGAACCGCTCCCAACACTGCAGAAAAATAGAGCAATATATGCAGTTCCAATTCCAAACAACTCTAAAAAAGTATGTGAGGGTTCATTCACCATCTCTCTTCTCTACAACCAAGTTTTCATGTGCGGGTGAGCCGACCTACAAGGCAGCTTATAAACTCCACCTCCACTGAGAAAGCTGCTGGGCACAACTCAGCATTGCACAATCAATTATGAAACTCAAGTCACAATGTAAACGAACTGCATGCCAGAAAAATTTATATGAAAACTGTTATACAAGCAAAGATCAAATAGAAAATGAAGCAAGATTACATAGGCCCTGGGGAAAAACAATATTGTACTATGCCTTTAAAATGTAACAACAAAGTAGGGTGCAACTGTTTATTGAGGGAGCTGGACTGTGACGGGGCCTAAGTTAGAACCTCCAAGCCCATTGACAGAACAACGAACCAATCTCCACCACCCTGGTCTCCCAGCTCTATAGGAATTCCAGGGAATGGAAGACCCAGGCTTTCTTACCTGGCCACCTTGCGTTTGTCATGTGGGTGTAGCTTGGCGGCCATCTCCGGGTCTACCTGGCTGAGCCGCTTATGGAGTTCACGGCTGTCCTCCTTCTCAAGCTCTACTTTCCGGTCAGCCGCTTTCCCGATGCCCATCTCCTGGCGCTAGTACATGAAAGTTTAGAATAAATCTATTCCAACTATTCAATAAACACTGAGACTATAAATGGGTCAGGCATCTTGCTAAGCCTTAGAAATAAAAAGCAGAGATGGATCTGAAGATCTTACCATCCAGCGAGGGACAGATCATAAACCAAAAATTCCAATATGCTGTGTAAGTGCTGTGAGGAATGGCGGCTCCCTCCCAGGGAAGCACTCTGAGGTCCTGCTTGACTATTTTACCTGAGCAACCATGTCTACTTTAACATATCCAGGAATGCAGTGCACCCTTCCCAAGGAAGACTGACCGGAACTGCCAGCACACAGCCATTTGCAAAGCCTTGCCCTACCCAGTGGAACCTCCATAAGAAAGGTCAGTGTTGGACATCTCTGACATACACACTGTGCTGGCAGCCAGGAAATGCTGAGTCAGACTGATGTAGTACTAACTTACACCGGGGTGCTAATTAATCCATGCAGAACCTTTTTCCCACACACAAGCACTACCCTCGGGCCAGCTTGGAGGACTGCACTCACGTACGGAGGTGGCATTTGTTCAGAATATTAAGTAGGAAAATTACAGCTGCTGACTCTAAGAAACAGGTAAGAGTCAGCCTTCCTCCCACTATAATTATTTGGCACGAGAAAAATGGGAACCACTCCTTTAGTGAGTTACTCGTGAACTAGACTTACCTTGGTATTCACAAGAACTTTCCAGAGCAGAGACTCAATGTAATAATTGGTTCCTCCCACAACAATAGGAATTTTGTTTCGAGCAAAAATATCTTCAATGTAAACATTAAGAAAATTATTTAATATCAATAAGAGAATCCTGACTTACGTGGGAAGAAGAGGAGTAGCAAGAATTCACAAAGGCCAGCATGTGGATGCACACCTCAGGCCTCCACCCATGGATGGCTATGAGCACATGTACACACACATGCACATACTCACACTAACAAGCACACACACACACCACACACACATCAAAAACGGAAAACAAGAAAGGGAGGGAGAGAGAGGCAGGCAGAGGGGCTGGAGAGATGGCTCAGCAGTTAAGAGCACCGGCTCCTCTTCCAGAGGACTGGGTTTAATCCCATCACCCGTGTGTGGTTCCCAACCATCTGCAACTCCAGCCCCCGGGAAGCCAGCGTCTTCTTCTGACCTCCTCAGGCACCAGTCACACATGTGGTGCACAGACTTATGCAAGCAAAGCAGTCATACAACATGTAAAATGGTTAATAATTGAAAAACAAAACAAGAAATCACACTCTTCTGGAGAGCTGGGGTTAAAAGGAGGAAACAAAAAGAAGTGGCACTGTCTTCAGTGTTTCCTGAACTTTATGGAATAACTTTCAGCTAGACCCTCAGGGACTTGCATAAACCAGACGCAGCATCTGAGAATGCAGTTCTCAAGAGTGATTGCTTAGCAGAAGCCCTTGGTTTAATTCCCAGCACCACATAAACTGGACTTGGTAGCACACATCTGTAATCCTAGCACTCAGGAAGAGGTGGGAGGGTCAGAAGTTCAGGGTCAGCCTGGGCTATGAGTCCTTGTCTCAAAAAATAACAACAACCACAAAACCAAACAAACAAACAAAAAAGAGGAGGCTGGAGAGATAGCTCAGTGGCTCAGAGTGCTTGATGTTTCTAATACGCACATGGCAGCTCACAACCATCTGTAACTCCAGTTCTAAGAGATCCAATGCCCTCATCTGTCCTCCACTAGCACCAGGCATGCCCTTGGTGCACAAACACACATGAAGGCAAAGCATCTATACACAAAAAATAAAGTAAACCTTTTGTTAAAATTTAAAAACAGAAACAAGGAAAAAAAAAAACTTGAGAGGCTGAGGCAGAATTCCCTAAGGTCAAGGCCAGCCTGTGCTGCATAGTAAGGACAGGACCAGCCAGTGCTACACAGACCTTACCTCAAAAACAGACAGGGGCTAGCAAGATGGCTGAGCAGATAATGGTGCTTGCCACCAAGCCTGCTGATGGGCTAGCTTTGAGCTCCCCATCTTCCTGCACTGGACTCTTGAGTGCTGGGATTCTGGAGCTTGTTAAGAACTTTCAGTCTGACATTGTGATTTTATGCTCTTAGGCAAACTTCACAAATCTAACCTCGCGTTGGTCCGATGATGTCATCCTCTGCTGTTTCTGTCCTTGGAAAGCTTAAACACTCACTACGTCAGTTCTTTATGAACAATCCAGTTACCTTATAGTAAGACCTCATATTTGGTGATAGGTGTTAATCGTCAAAGGACTTTCATATATACTATGTCATCTGACAGAACAGCCCTGCAAAGTAGGTAGACCTGAAATTATTATCTGCAATTTTTTATTTTATGTGCATTGGTGTTTTACCTGTGTGTACATATGTGTGAGGGTGTATGATCCCCTAGAACTGAAGTTATAGACAGTTGTGAGATGCCAAGTAGGTGCTAGGAATTGAACCCAGGTCCTCTGGAAGAGCAGTCAGTTCTCTTAACGCTGAGCCATCTCTCTAGCCCCCTATTATCTGCATTTTAATCTGTCCATTTGAAAGGCAAAAACATTACCTCATTGTCTGGATTTGCATGCCTACAGCAAGGAGGGCAAACCTTTTCCATGTTTATCACCATATCTGTACTTGCTCCTATGAATTACAGACAAGGCCCTGGAAGTATTTCCATATTCGCAAGAGTCCCTCATGTATTAAGAACACTAGTTACTTGTTCTTATGTTATAAATATTTTCCTCCAAGTTTATGTGTTCTGTTTGTCCAAAGCTGGTTTCAAATTGCTATGTAGTCAGTGGCCTGACCTTCCATTCCTAGGTGCTGGGATTACAGGTGCACACCACCACACCAAGCATAGTTTTGCTTTTTAACTTTTATAATAACAGTGGCAAAACAGACATGTAGCCTATAATTTCCAACATTTATACTGTTTATAAAATTCTTCCATATTGACTGATGCTACAATTTATTCATTTTTTACTATTACAAAGAACTTCTATGCCAGGTAATGGAGGTCCACGCCCTTAATTTCAGCACTTGGGAGGCAGAGACAGGTGGATCTCTGTGAGTTTGAGGCCAGCCTGCTCTACAGAGTGAGTTCCAGGACAGCCAGGACTACACAGAGAAACTGTCTTGAAAGAAATAATCAACCCCCCCCAAATAACAAAATAAAAGCAAAAAAAAAAAAAAAACTTCTATGAGCAAAGCAAACTTTGCACATTCTTCTAAGAGTGAGAATTCAGGTGATTATTGCTACTAAGTGCAAAACTGAGATGCACATCTAAGAAAAATCTTCTGACCAAGAGTGTCCCTAGAGCATATGCCTAGGTGTTCTAGTTCACAAGTCTTCTTATTTTATGTTTTGAGACAAGCTTTCTAGCACAGATTTGCCTAGAACTCCCTATGCTGCCATGACTTTGAACTTCTGATCCTCTTGCTTTCCTCTGAGTCCAGCCTGGTCTACAGAGCGAGTTCCAGGGCAGCCTGGGCTATACAGAGAAACCCTGTCTGAAAAAAAAAAAAAAAAAAACCCAAAAAAAAGAAGAAAAAAAATAAAAACAGAGGGAAAACCAAACCATACTTTAGAATCAAAAATCAAGTAACTACTTAATACATTGTATGGTCTATTTGTTCCAAGTTTTATAAATAAACATGTGTATATATATTTGACCCCAAAATTCATCTGAAATTTTTAATGTTTTATGAAATACAACATATGAAAAGACCTAATTTTACTTTCTTCCAAAACAACCATGCTAAGAATAATTATATTTCTATTCATTCTTTTCTTTCGAGACAAGGTTTTTCTATGTAGACCAGGCTGATGCCACTCAGAAAGATTCACCTGCCTCTGCTTCCCCTGGTGCTAACACCATTCATTCTTTACCATTCTGAAATGTGGAAGATAAATGCATACACTGAATTCAATCTACACTGTATCTCCTATTCTGTTATGGGTTTTGTTTCTTGTGTGTGTGTGTGTATGTGTGTGTGTGTGTGTGTGTGTGTGTGTGTGTGTGTGTGTCTACGTTTAGGTATGTCTTCTGTGTGGTGCGCTGTTGCGAATCAGTTTTCTCCTCTTCTACTCTGGGATCTGGTGACCCAACTTCGGTCATAAGATTTACGTGGCAAGTGCTTTTACCTGCTGCGTTCTCAGCGGCTCGTGTTACAAATTCACCCAGTATTTTATAATTGTTATTGCCAATGCACCCTCAACTTAATGGTTTAAGATCCCCTTCCCCCCATTATGGGGGACTGAATTTAGGACCTCATTCATTGATACTGGTCAAGCGCTCTGACAGCTGGCTACACCCCCCAGTGGTTACTATAACTTTTCAATGTTTGTTTTAATAGCTGGAAGTTCAAATAATAAAGATAATCTGAATTTTAAAATACAAAATAGGCCTCTTACATCACTCATTTTTGATTTTGTCTTTATGCTTTTGAGATGGTCTCTCCATGTATCCCAAGCTGGCACTGAATGCACAATCCTCCTGCCTCAGCTTCCCCTAGAGCTAAAATGATAGGTGTGAACCCCATCCCCAAGTTCCTTTTCTCAGTCTTATCCAGGACTGTCCTTCCCACTCAACAACCTTTCAAGTTCTCAGCGACTTCACTGCCATCACAGATCTAACTTCGTCTCTCCACTGAGAAGGCAGGAAACTGAGGCTCAGCGGTGCGAGCAAGTGCTTTACCCAGTAAAAACAACATGGCCAAAAGAGGTAAGTTTAGAGTTAGAACAGACTTTATATTTCTAATCCCTGTCATAAAATGTTTTTTCGTAAATATCCTTAGGAATCAGGTGTAGGCTGGTGAAATGGCCCACCAGCTAAAAGCACATGTCCAGCAAGCCTGATGCCTGAGTTCGGTCCCCGGGGACCACATAAAAAGCCAGATGTGGTGCACGCAACTATAATCCCAGCATGCACACTTCAAAATAGAAGACAGAAGCGGGAGAGTCACTTGGAAGCTCATCACAGGTCAGACAGCCTGGAGTACACAGGGTGGCAGACACAACAGAGACCTTGCCTCAACAAGATAAAGGAGAGACAGAACTCCTGGAGGTTGTACTCTGGCTGGCACACATAGACATGGCACACATATGCACACACATGCAATAGTAAATAAACTTTAAAAGAAAGGACCACGCAGACCTCTTGTGATAGTGCAAACTCTAACTTAGCAGATCTGGAGTGGAGCCTGAGTCAGCATTGCTCATGAGTCCCGAAGGAAGCTGCCTCTGAGAGTGGGTGCTCTCGTGTAGAAGGCACCACTAGAAGCCCACCCAGCCTGGGCGCTCTAGCTCCTTAAGGATATCAGTGTAGTTGCTCTGTTCCTAAAGTCCACCACGGTGTAGCTGGTCACAAGGGGGTCCACAAAGCTGATCATATGGTGCTGGCACATCTTCTGCTCCTGGGCAGAGACCTTATTGGTGATGATGTCTAGCCCTTCGTAGACCTATGAGAAAGAAAGCGAATGTGAGAAAGTCATCGCCCTCCACAAAATACACACTTGATAAGTAGAAGTGACTGTCTATTTCTCCCTTCAGCTAAATCCTTGGCTGACCCCAAGCAACAGATCTAGCTTGTATCTGGGAACTGGGCCAGGGGTACAAAAGCTAAGTCATAGAAAGAATAAAACAGAGCGCTAGTTTGCTTGTCACACTGTAGTTGTTAGCCTGGCTTAAAGATTAAGGAGGTATGTAAATCCATGCCAGGAGAGGGAACTCCACTCCTGAGCATCTCAAATCGAACCGCTTCCTTATTTATTCTACTTATCACAGGTCTCCAGAAAAGGGAATGTTTTGCATTGTTCATAACTCTATTCCAAAAGGCTCAGTAGTTCTTGGATTTAAGGGGCTCTAAAAGGCTTTTAGGATTCATATAAGATAGGTTCCATCTTATGAAGAAGTGTCCAGTCTATGCAGACACATAAAACACACGCATTCTCCCCATGGCCTTGTGCTCAATGAGTGCTCAGGGCAGCACTCACATCGAAACATGACGGGCGGCAGCCCACGTGCAAGCTCTTCATCTTCATCTTCATCTGCCAGTTCAACTAAAAACTTCAAGTGTTCCTTGTCTGAACGCAAGGTCTCCGATGGAGACCAGATTTGAAAATACTAGTCTGAGAACAGGAATGTTTGGGCTGAAATGTTCTCTCTGTAATCACTGATCCTACAAGGAGCACTGAACCAACAAATAGCAAGCTCCACAGAGCCCACAGGATGCTAAGGGCGTTTTCTGTCTCACATTTCCCTTTACTTACAGAAGTGTCAAGCAGCTAGAGGACAGTGCTATGGTTACCAGGGAGCCCTGGCGCCCTGCTGCCTCAGATCAATCCCTGGCTCTGCCACTTACTAGTTTTTGTTCTTGGAGCACACAGGCACTAACTTCAACCTCAACCGCTCCTAAATGCAGTGGAGACAATAACACGAACTCTGGGGGCTGTGAGGCTAACATGTTTAACCCACATCGAATGCACTTTGTTTTCACCTGGTGCTCACTAAGCACTGTGAGGGATGACACACACTCACTCCATCTGTGTCGTCCGCTCACCGTTCACACTTCTCTATCGAACCCTCACATGGCTGACCTGCCTTGAGGAATATCTTCTAGGGCAGCTTCTCACCTTTCCTAACGCTGCACCCCTAATGTGGGGACCCAACCATAGAATTATGTGTGTTGCTACTTCATAGCTGTAACTTTGCTACTGTTAGGAACCATAATGTAAATATCTGATATGCAGATTGTCTTAGGTGGCCCCTGTGAAAGGGTTGTTTGATAACCTCAGGGGTCATGACCCACAGGTTGAGAACCGCTGTTCTAGAGGCCCTTAAGATGGCAAGTTTGAAAAAGTAAACACAGCCAGATGTGGTGGGGTACACCTTTATCCCAGCACTATGGAGGCAAAGGCAGGCAGATCTCAGAGTTCAAGGTCAGCCTAGTCTACAGGAAGAGTTCAAGGACAGCCAGTGCTATCTCGAAGAAACAAAAACAAACAAAAAAATCAGAAAAGCAAACTCCAGCCAAAGGAACCCCAATAGGCCTGTGGAACTAGAAACAGAACTGCCTACCATGCAGTTCAAAGTATTTACAAATGCCAGAAATATCAAGAAAAATGAACTCATAGTTTAACTTGTAGTCATAGAGTTAAAAACTATAATTAAAAATCCATAACTTATAAAAAAGTAATTTTTTACGGGGGGGGGGGGTGGTGGGGGGGTGGCCGGGCGGGCGGGGGAGGGAGCCCGGAGCAACCCCCCCCCCCCAAATTGTCATCTTTAAGCGATTTGTTAATCCTTTGTCTACTACAGCATCAGATTAATCAGGACAGGACATAAAATATGATGAGCTGAATGAAGGTGGTGGCACTCACTTGTAATCCCAGCACTGGAGAGGCTGAGATACAAGAATTACAAGTTCAAAGCCAGTCTGTACTGCACCAAGAGCTCCTATCTCAAAGCAATAAAACTAGGGGCTGGGGAGATGGCTCAGTAGTTAAGAGTACTGACTGCTCTTCCAGAGGACCTGGGTTCAATTCCCAGCAACCACATGGCAGCTCACAATTGCCTGTAATTCTAGTTCCAGGAGACCCAACACTCGTGGCAAAACACCAATGTACATAAAGTATAAATAAACAAATTTTTAAAAAAAAGCAACAAAACTAAAGGACACCTGTCACTTCAAGTCTGAGTCACTAGGCTTCTTATGTGACAATCACAGAATACACGACTACAGACTAGGTCTGCTACAATGTCAAAATAACCACATTGCAGTGTTCTACACCTAGTTTCTGGAGGTTGACCTACACATCACTGTGTGACTCTATGCAACTAAAAATGCACACTGCAGGAATGAGGGAAGGGTAGACCGGCAACACCGGCCAAGCTGTCCAAACTAAAGCTAGGTGACAGGCATGGGAATTTAACCTACTACTTTTGGTCTCCATCTCTCTGTCTCTGTGTCTGCATCTCTCTGTATATTTCTGTCTCTGTCAAAGTCTCTCTTTCTGTGTGTCTGAATGTGTGTGTGTGTGTGTGTGTGTGTGTGTGTGCTTACATGTATACTAGGGAACAGTCTTATATTGGAGGGTAGAGGTAGGAGAACAGGACACTCAGTGAGTGGGTAAAGCCACTTGCCACCAAGCCTGATAACAGCCTGAATTTGATCCCCATCTTCCATCTCTGACCTTCACATGAAAGCCATGGCCTGTACACCAACCCCCACACTAAAAGAGCAAATCTGAAATAGAGCTGGAAGGCACAAAGTCCCGGGCTCAGTCACAGCCGTACACTGCAGTGTGCCGGAGAAACATATAGTGGCCCATGCTTGTTGTAATCTCCACACTCTGAAGGTGGAGGCAGGAGGGTCAGAAACTCAAGGCAGATCTCTGTGAGTTCGAGGTCAGCCTGGTCTACTAAGCGAGTTCCAGGACAGCCAAGGCTACACAGAGAAAACCTGTCTCGAAGAACAAAAACAACAACTAACTAACTACATAAATAAATAAATAAATCTGAACAAAAACAACTAACTAACTAAATAAATAAATCTGAAACAAGATAGTTTCAGGCCAGTTTACACCTTATCTCATATTAGTTAAATCTCAGTCAAGGTTTCACTGAGCAGCTCTGGCTAGTCTGGATCTTGCTCTGTAGACCAGGCTGGCCTTAAACTCACAGATCACCTGCCTCTGCCCTCCATGTGCTGGTATTTCAGGTCTGTGCCATCATGCCCAGCTTATTTATTTGTTTGTTTGTTTGTTTAAAGCATCAGGCAAAGCTGGAAGTGTAACTTAGTGAAGGGCACTTGCCTAGCAAAGGAAAGACTTTCTAAATTAGAATCTTAGCACCACAAGAAACAATTAAAAATGAGGTTGGGCGGTGGTGGACACACCTTTAATCCCAACACTTAGGAAACAGAAGCAGGTAATCTCTCTGAGTTCGGTGCCAGCCTGATCTACAAATTGAGTTCCAGAACAGCCAGGGCTATTACACAGATAAACCCCATCTTGAAACACAACAATAACAACAACAACAACAACAAAATTACAAAAAGAGAAAGAGGGAAAGAAGAAAAAACAGTACAGAAAAGCAAATGCTAAGAAGGATGTAAAGAAACTGAAACTTTTGGGACACTTAGAAATTTAAACAGTATATACACCCCAGAACAGGGCGAAGCTCTCAGGCTCTGGGCTGACTCTGCAGTTCCTGGCTGACATCACTAACATTACCTTGGCCTCTAGGCTGACTTTACAGACCCTTCCCTACTGTATATCAGCTCCTGCTGGTTAGAAATAGTCGGCTCAGGGCCAGTTTCATCCAGTGTGGGCTAGAAGAGAGCAAAGGGAGTATCTCAGGGGTCTGCCTCTTGACCACATCATGGAATCTGTCATCTGGACAACAACCAATTTGACAACCAACTCAACCAGCAAAATAACAGCTGTACTACTGATGAACCCACCATTTAACCCTTCACCCACCATGCCTAGCCAGCTATCCACCTCCCTGTGGAGTCTCCTCCCACTTCTCAGCCACTCCCTCTGCAGAGCACCTGTCACTCTCAGACTCCGGACGTCATTCACTGGAGGTGACACAGAGGAGGCTGCCATCGATTTCTCCCTGAAGCTCTACCACACCTTCTCAGCAATAAGGAAGGCTGAGACCAATATGGCCTTTTTCTACTCAACACTGCCAGTCTCCGTACCCAGATTCCCCTTCAGACTGAAGACAGCATACAGAAGACCCTGGAAAGCATCCTCTCCTACTGCAAAGACTCTGCCTGTATCCACCAGGCCCCAAAGGCCTTCACATTCAAGGCATCGCTTAGCCTCTGGGCTCTGCCACAGTCCAGACCTGGCCACAAGGGACACTTCTGTGCCCTCATAGCCAGTACAGCAGCAGCCCCAAATTCCTAGGCAATGACAGTGATGGCAGCTAGGAGTTTGTCAGCACCGACCACAAAATCAGACAGCTGCAAGACAGCTTGTCTCTCAAACACCTGCCTTGTCCTTCTTGATGCCATCTGTCTGCCAAGTAGAAGAAAATATTGATAACAAAACATGGAGTATTTCCCCTTAAAAGCCTCCATGGAAAAATCTCTCATGATGAGTTGTAAGATATCTGAGGTCAGGCATGTAGTTCACAACTATAATCATGGCACTCAAGAAGTGGTTTAGGCCAGCCCTACAGAGCAAGATCCTGCCTCAAAACACAAAAATGAGCCAGGTGTGGTAACATGCGCCTTTAAATGTAGCCTGATCTATGCATGAGGTCCAGGTCAGCCAAGACTACATTATGAGACCCTGTCTCAAAAATTAAATAAGGAGGAAGAGGAGAAGGGAGGAAGAAATAACCACAAAAGGGTCCTATGGTTCTCTGACCTGACCCTGAAAGCCAGGAGAAGATGGCAGGAGCCCAGATAGCTGAGCTTTACGATCCCCATACAGAAGAAGTTGAACTGCCTTCAGGGACATGCAACAGGCTCTCAGCCCACTGCCTGCAAGGCCACCATGAAGCTGAGCGGCCCATGCTCTAGCCTACTTTCCTTGGCATCGCTGCATCAAAGTGACGAGCATGAAGGGCACATGTGACTCATGGAGAGATCAGAGTTCTCTGATTTATGACCTCATCCTGCACAGGCTGACAGACAACCTACAGGCAACCCCAGACCATGCCAGAGCCAACCAAGACAGCTGCAGGGGCAGCTGTGGCCTTCAGCATTCTGTGACCTGCCAATGGTTTATCTCTGAGGCCTAACAGTTCTTCCCCTCCCTGCTCTGGGGGACTAGCAACACAAATTTTCTGCGTTCGTGGGGCCTGAGATGTACAGGAGCAGGGGAGTGGAGGTAAGGGCGAGCCCTACTGCCCGAGCCTCAGGTTTTCAGTTCAGCTCGGCTGTCTCTCTAGACTCACCCCAGGTACCTCCTGCCTCAAATACCCTCTGTCCTCCACTGAAGGGCTCCTTCAGCTCTCAATAAAGAGTCTGAACAAAGTGTCTGCTCCCATGAGTCCTTCTCTCTGGCCCTGTTATACTTGCTAAACCACGTTTTTGGTAGCTTTGTAGTTTTACTCTACAAGTAAAACCTGATGGACCGATATAGACTATGAGAAAACAAACGTGGTAGAGTCAGGGGCTGAAGAGATCGCCCTGCAGTTAAGGGCACTTGTTGCTCTTGGAAACGATCTGGCTCCAATTCTCAAGAGCCACAGAGCAGCTCATAACTGTTACTGTGGTTGCAGATCCAGGGGATCCAATGCCTTCTTCTGACTTCCTCTGGCACTAGACACACTCATGGTACACATACACACACGCAGACAGACAGACACATTAAAAAAATCTTTAAAATCATTTTTAAGTGGGGGCAGTGGTGATGCACGCCCTTAACCCCAGCACTCAGGAGGCAGAGGCAGGCAGAGCTCTGTGAGTTTGAGACCAGCCTGATCTACAAAAGTGAGTTCCAGGACAGGCTCCAAAGCTACAAAGAAACCCTGTCTTCAAAAAACAAAAACAAAAACAAAAACAAAAAAACTTTTTTAATGGTAGAGCTAGAATAATAATGTGGAAGTTCCTCAAAAAATAAAATAGAACTATTACATGGCACAGCAAATTTCCTTTGAGTTTATATCCAAAATAATGAAAGCAGGGTATTGAACACATATTTATGTAACCATGTTCATAACAGCACATTATTCTCCAAAGCCAAAGCCAAAAAGTAGAAGCGACACCAAATACCCACGAACAGGTGAATGGAAACACATAATGGAGTATATTATACACCCTAAGATAGGATATTATACAGCCTTGAAAAGAAAGAAGAAACTATGATTTGTGTTAAAACAAAGACAAGCCTCGAAGACAAATGACTGTGAGTGAAATACACCAGCCCGAAAGGGCACAAGCTTCTGAGGCCCATGAACATGACTCTACTCACACAGGAACTGCAGCAGACAGAAAGCAAACTTGTGTTTAACTGAGGGATGACTTAGCAGGGAAAGGCACTTGCCACCAAACCTGCCATTGAGTTTGACCCCCAGAACCCACCGCTAAACCGGGCCAGTTGTCCTCCGGCCTCCATATGCACGCCACGGCATGTGCACATGTATCCATGGAAAATGCAGGTTAAATACACAGAGCTATGTATATTTATTCTGAATTTATTACTTTTAATTTTTATTGTTGGAGACAGGATCTCATGCAGCGCAGGTTAAACTCAAATTCACCTTGTAGCTGAGGCTAACCTTGAACTTCAAATCCTCCTGCCTCTACCTCCCAAGTGCTAGGTTTATATGTGTGTGTCTCACGCCATTTCAGAAAAGAAAAGCACTGACGACAGCTGTGAGGCACGGTGTGAAAGCAGAGAATATCAGAGCCACTCAGAGAGCTGATAATATCTCATTTTTTTCCCTTTGACAATTTGTTGAGCTTTACGGATACAAGTAATATGTTGTTTTGGGTTTTTTTTTTCCCTTTTCTTTCTTTCTTTCTTTCTTTTTTTTTTTTTTTTTTTGGTTTTTTGAACAGAGTTTCTCTGTGTAACAATTCCGGCTGTCCTGGAACTCACTTCATGGACCAGGCTGGCCTCAAACTCACAGAGATCCACCTGCCTCTGCCTCTGCCTCTGCCTCTCGAGTGCTGGGATTAAAGGTATGCACCATTACCACCTAGTTTATTTTTTGTCTGTTAAAATCAGCTTGCAAAGCTAAGCAAAAACAGCGGGTTGGATGATCAGCTTGGTGGTTAAGAGCACATGATGTTCTTTTTTTTCTTCTTCTTTACTTAATTTTATGTATGAGTACTCCACATGTACACCTGCTTGTCAGAAGAGGGCATCAGATCCCGTTGTAGATGGTCATGAGCCACCACGTAGGTGCTGGGAATTGAACTCAGGACCTCTGAAGAGCAGCCAGTGGTCTTAACAGTTGAGCCATCTCTCCAGTCCCAAGCACATGATGTTCTTGCAAAAGTCCTGAGTTCAAATCCTAGCACTCACTCAGGTGGCTCACAACTGCCTGTAATTCCAGAACCGGGGGAATCTGACACCCTCTCCTGGCCTCTGTGGGCACTGCATCCATGTTATACGCAGACAGGCCTGCAGGCAAAACAGGCATTCCTGTAAAAATAAATAAACAGTAAAATCACAAGAATAAGCACCTACCCATTTGCATTAAAGATAATATTCAGGTACACCTAAAGGGAGCTGAAGGCATACATAGCTCAATGGGGAGCAAGCACTTGTCTAGCACAACCTAGGTTCAATCCTTGGTACCGCAGAGAGAGAAAAATAGAAAGAAAAATAAAATAATAACAAAACCTAGGTAAAATCATTTGTAAAGTGTTATTTTAGGGCCCGGATTTAAGTGACACCCGTATCTCAAATGCCACAGTCATGCTTAGAATTTTATCATTTATTTATTTTTCATGTTTAGCACACTCTCTTACCAGGTCGCAGTAGACGTGCAGCTGAATGCTTTGCATGCACCCTCATATACAGTTCCCATTGGCTTCAGTGTGCTTCTCAGAACAGTTAGTCTGGAAGCTGAAAGAGCTAAAAAGAAATCTTTCAAACACAACAAGTCACTCGGCTCCATTCCCCTGCTCCCAAGGGAACTTGTGACAGGATCACACAGAAGTGGCTGAGGGAGATGGGCTGGCAGAATGGTGGCCCAGCACAAATGAGGTCATGAGTTACTCCCAGCACTACATAACTGAGAGTGATGGAACATGCCAGTTATGATAGTATAGTGTGGGTTTCTCTGTGATGTCTACAATGTTCTCAGAATTTAGAGTTTAAGGAAGAGAGACGGTTCAGCAGGTAAGGGTGCTTGTTGCCTGATGACCTGAGTTCAGTCACTAGGACCCACGTGGAGGAAGGAGAGAACTGGCTCCTGTGGGTTGTCCCGTCACCTACATACTTTGTGGTACACACAAACATGCATGGGTGTACGCTAAATAAAGGTTTAAAAATGTTTTTAAAACAATTTAAAATCAGAGGTTTAAGTCAGTCAATTATCTAACCTGACTTGTCCCAGCATACATTTACTAAGAGCCCATTACCCCTCGGGTATTCTGTCAGATGCTAGGCCTGCAAACAAGGTTACGAGTTTCTGCTGGGCATGGTGGAACCTGCTGTGATCTCAACTACATTTGGGAGGCTGAGGCAGGATGACTACATGTCCACGATCAACCTTGACAACTTAAAGACTCCACATCAAAATAAAACTGGGAAGGAAAGAAGGAAGGAAGGAAAGAAGGAAGGAAGGAAGGAAAAGAAAAGCAAAATTGAGAGAATGTAGTTAGTGGTCCAATGCTCGCCCAAAATGCCTAATGCTCCCTTAGAAAAAAAAAAAAAAGATCCTGTTCTCATTGAGGCCAAATTAGTGATGCTTTGCAAGATACAAAAACCTGTAACAACAGAGCAAGCAATATAAGCATTGATAAAAGCTGGTTAAAATAGTGCACACCTACAATCCTAGTACTTAGGAAATAGAGGTAGAGGGATCTTGAGTTGGAAGCCAGCCTAGGCACACACTAAAATTAGCTTAATTTAAAAAAAAAAAAATCTTGGGAGGCTAAGACATGAGGACTGCTATGAGCTCAAGACTAGCCTGGACTACACAGGGAAGTCTAGGGCAACCTGGGCTAAAGAGTAAGGTGTTTCAAAAATAAATAAAATGTTTAGGGCTAGAGAGATGACTCCACAGCTAGCGCACTTGCTCTATAACCATGAGGATCCTGCTCTAACGAGGGCAACAACAGGATCCCTGCAGCTCACTAGTTTCCAGCCTAGCCAAGAAAGAAAGGACCGGGTTCAGGGAGAGACTCAGACGAGAAAGGAAAAGGCAGAGAGTGATGGAGAAGAACTGTGCCTACGACTAGCCACGACGTGAATATCACAGGCACCTGCCCGAGGTATGCGTGTACGTAAGCATACACACATAATTGACAGGTTTTACAGTTCCTGAGATATTAAAGTTTGTGCAATGTAGTAGTCCCTAAATACCACTAATGTTCAAAACCACTGAACATTAAGCCAGGCAGTACTGTCGCACCTTTTTAATCCCAGCATGCAGGAGGCAGCGGCAAGTGGACTCTGTGAGTTCAAGGCCAGCCTGGTCTGTAGAGCCAGTTCAAGGACAGCCAGGGCAATACAGAGAAACCCTGTTAAGGAAACTAAACAAAACAACAAAATCAAACATTTAACACTGAACTGAACTTTATAGGGGAATACATTTCTGTCTTCCCTGTTTGATGCTTTATTTCCAGAGTGAAATTTTTCCAGGAAAAATTAGGCCAGAAAGCTTAAGAAAATTGACCTCTCTAAATCAACAGAGCTGGAGTGCCCAAAGATGCTAACAAGGGTGGGGATACTACAACAGAAGTGAAGGAAGCCAGATTAACTAGGAAATAGTAACTGCCAACTGGAAGCCATTCTGTCCACCAGGGGACACTTGGTGGTCGCCTGCAAACACAGCGGCTGTCAAAACTGTAGGAGAAAGAGCGCGACTACTTACTGCCTGTGGACCAGTTATACTGAAAAGATAAATAAATCATGATAAACAGAAGAGTCCTTTGACCCCTTCATCAAGCATTATCTGCCCCAATGTCAACAGGCCCTGAAAGGGAGATCCTGTCCAGTAAATCCCCGAGAATCTCTTCCCAGATCATGAGGGATCCATTTAAAGCTCGAATCCCCTAAGGCTGCCATCCTGCAGGGTGCACCCATGACTGTGGTACCAACAATGCCCTGGCCCTAGGCAGACTGGAGTTCCGACTGAGCTGGCTGGCTTAGGACACCACAGTATAGCATCTACAGTAAGAGGAGAGGCTTCTCCCTAAGTTGGCTCTTTACTTCCAAGTCATTGGCCTGTTATGACTTCATTTCCCTCCCTCCCCACATTAGATCCTGCGGTCCTCCAATCACATTCTTTCCTACCTAGAAAACCACCATCTCGGTTTACAGACCAATACAAGCACCACCACCCTTCTTTCTCACTGGCTCCACCTTCAAGTGCTCTGTGAATGTCACTGAAGTCACAAGGAACCTGCCTGCCAAATGCAACACTGCTCACTCAACTTCCAAAACAAGTTCTGGAAAAGCAGCAATACACTACTGCTGAACGCTCCAATTCAGAAGCTGTGCTCCTCTGGGCTCCCACAGCACCGCTCTCTCCAGGTTTTCTTCTCCCCTCACTAGCCCTTCCTCAGTCTCCTTTACTGACCAGTGATCAACAATGCCTACCACAGGCACACTATCGACAAGCGCAGTCTTCATGGCATGTGCCAGCCTACCCACAAACTCTCTGGATACCATGGCTTCTACAACTGTTTTTGTGCTGACAATTCCCAAGCCTGTCCACGGAAGCGGACATTTCCATCTCAGTGAAAGTTGCCTGCAGTGCTCAACAGCATAGGACTCTGAATGCCTGACAAGGCTCGGGCTTCACCACTCACTAGACGAGCCCCGTTACTTAACCATTGTGCCCCAGACTCTCCACTTACAAAGTAGGGTAACCTTAACCCTAACCTCTAAGAGTTCCTGTTGCAATGAAATGATTCACATAACAAAAGCACTCGGAGTACAGCCTTCCTTAGAGGCAGTTGTCCTCCATCACCATCCTCGCCCCCAAACAGGTACCTGAAATCTGATGTACCGCAAAATGAGCTGCTTATCTCCTCGTGTTTGAGTAAACCACCTAGGTAATAAATCAAAAACCTTAAAGGGTTCCTGGTACCTCTATTTCTCCTCACATTCCCTATCTACCTCAACTTTTGCCCATACCAGTTTTTAAATTATTTGTTTGTTTGTTTGTTATTTTTCGAGGCATGGTTTCTCTGTGTAACAGTCCTAGCTGTTCTGTAACTCAGTTTGCAGACCAGGCTAGCCTTGAACTCATAGAGATTTGCCTGCCTCTGCCTGCTGGGATAAAAGGTGTGTGCCACCACCACCCAGCTACTTATTTATTTTTTGAGACAGGGTCTCACTGTGTAGTCCTGGCTGTCCTGGACAATTCTATGCAGACCAAGCTGGCCTCAAACTTACAGAGATTCATGTGCCTCTGCCATACCCAACTCATGATAATTTTAAAAATGACCTCAACAGGACAGTGAGACGGCTTGGTGAGAAGAGATGTTTGCCACCAAGCCTGACAACTTGTCTTTGAATCCTGGAACCAACAAGATAAAAAGAGAAAAAAGACTTCTAGCCAGGCGTCCTCTGACCTCCACATGCACACCATGGCACAAGAATACCCACACACTCATACATATATATAAACACACAAAAATTAAATGCAATAAAAATCTGAACACTTACCACCATCGTTATTTCCTACTGTCATTACAAACTGATCTACATGATTGTGCTAGATTATTCTATTAGCTGCCTCGCTGATTATGATCTTCAAAGTATAACCTCTCCAACAGAGGTCAACATCACATTTTTCTAAAAAGAGAATCAGATTCCATCCAGCCCCAAACTCCTTCAAACCATGTTGCTGTGAGAGCTGAGCTATCCTCAGGGCCTCCCCACCTCCCCTCTTTGCTCCCACAGAACCCTCATCTCCCACCATCACAGAACTTACTATATACGACTTCAGAAGTTTCATCTCCCTGCTTCCATCTTTCTGTGCAGAAGTCACAATACATCCTGGAGCCCCAGGTTACAACACTGTTTTTGCAGCCATGTTGCTGTAATTCCTGATCTACACAAATCAGCTTGTGCGTTGGCCAGCTCACTCTCTCCCCGGGAGCCCCGTGTTTCTCATACCTAACCACTTCAACAGTCCAAATTTCAGGGGATGGGCTGGGGTGGGGGTGGGGGTTGAACATAGGCAGATGAAAGGAAGAAAAATTCTTTTCAAGAATACTGGCACTAGAAAAATGTGTTTGTTTTATAAGCTAGGGTCCCACTATACAGTCGTTACTGACCTGGTACTCTCTCCGTGGGTCAGGCCATCATCCTCCAGCTGGTGGCTATCCTCTTGTATGGAAGTCACCAATACTGAGATTACAGGGTGGCAGGTCCACCTAAAAACTGGTTTTCCTTTTATCAAATTCAACTAAGCAGATGCTCGACAGCGAAAGGGCTGATCTCACCCCGCTAACGTCACTTTCTTCAAAGGTTAGCTTTTTAAATTTACAACTTCTCTCTCTCTCTTTTAATAATTTACCTTATTTTATGTGCATTGGTATGAAGGTGTCAGATTCTCCAGAACTGGAGTCAGACAGCTGTGAGCCACCACGTGGGTGCTGGGAATTGAACACAGATCCTCTGGAAGAGCAGACAGTGATCTTAACTGCTGAGTCATCTCTCCAGTCCCAAATTTGCAGCTTCTCTTGGTTACAAAGAATGAGTGTGCTACAGAATCATGGCAAGTGGGTCTTTTAGCTTTATTTAGCAAAATTCAGCTGATGGGCTTGCTCAGTCGTTAAGAGCAAGCACTGCTCTAGCAGAGGATCCAAATTCATTTCCCAGCATCTATAATAAACAGCCCACAACTACCTGTAACTCCAGTTCCACAGGATCCAACACTCTCTTCTGGCCTTCACGGGCATCTGCACTCAGATGCCAGTACATACATTCATGCATACACAAGTACATATAATTAAAAATAAATCTTTTTTTTAAATGCAGCTGCAGTTATGCTAAACGGTTCATATGCAGACAGAGATGCTCAGGC